TTAGGACATTCATTACTGACTTAGAAATGATTGACATCGTCATTCTAAACAATCTAGCCAACCAAAACAAAGCACCGTATGAGCTGATCAAAAAGGGCGCGAAAAACAAAGAGATATTGAATGCCAATTCAAACGCTCAATTAACAACCGAACATTCGAAACATTCCGCACTCGGTCAATCTCAAACTAGTAACAAAAATCAGTTTCAATCACAACTCGCTAGAAAACAGTCAGATCTCTCTCAATTGAAAAGCAAAAACAATCAACCAATCTGCAAAAATTTACTACACACCATTTCAACAATCCCCGAAAAGCCAAAAATGAGCCGCAGAACGGACACAGAAGGTTTCGACGGGGGATTTATCCCATCGGAGCTAACAACAAATTAGTCGCGGGGCCGAAAAGAGTCGACACAGACTTGGCAAGGTTCATCGGACCGCGAAGAGAGTCTTTCAGACCCAAGATGGTACAAGCGACCCCCCACAAAAGGAAAGAAAAATACAGGAAACATAAAACAATCGGCACAAGGGCAAGACGAACTACAAACAACACTCGCACGGGATGCTAGGGAAATACTATCGGCCAAGAAGAAAGTAGAGACGATCAAAACACCAACCTTCCCCAAAATCATCTTCACGGACACAAATACATCCGGCACAACTACGAGCAAACAGAAACAAATAGAAACAAGGAACACAACATAAATCACACAAACAGAACCACAAAGTACAAAAACAGCTACGGAAACCCCAGCAATCAATAAAGAAGACACCGCAAAAATCTGTGTTAGCCGCGTGGACCCAAACGTTTGCATACAAGAAATACAAACACCCAACGTAGAACCACCAACAATGGGAACAATAACACAATTAGAAGCCAGCCATGAGATAATAACACAAGGACTGGTAGCGACGGTGGAAAAAGCCACGAATACGGTGGAAGCGGAAGAAGACACCCCATTATTCAGACAAAAACTACAGTGGGTCTTAGGAGTACAATTTATTGCTGCAGTCACCAAGAAAGATCGAAATCCCCGCCCATTGACCAACTTCGTCAAAAAGAGGGATTGAGAAGCCATCAAAGCCTCATATGGACAGTACTGGCATAACTTTCGGAACAGACTCTACGTCCGAGAAGACTGCCTACTCATAGACGAAAGAATCGTCATACCCACGCAACTCCGACAAACAGTGTTAGACAGCCCTCATTTGACTCACCCGGAATCCGCAGCCATGTTGGACCTATGTCAGCATGTCTGGTTTCCCCACATCCATCGCTCAATCGGGCAAATGACACAGAATTCTAGACACTGCACCGAACAAGGTAAAAACCTAAAGCCAATATTAGGAAAAGGGCAATCATTTCAAATGGAACCAGTAGTAGAGCCTAAGGAAGAGGTCCAGTTAGATTTCGCAGGGCGCCTTCCGGATGAACTCAATAGAGACGCATATATTCTAGTTTCTATAGATGAATAGTCCAAATTTCCAAACTCAAAAGTAGTATTAAACACAACAGCGGATATTTGCAATAACGGGGTACCCAGAAGACTAAGATGTGATCAAGCGCAAACATTTAGAGCTAAAAAAAATTCCAACTTTTCTGCAAAACAAACAATATAAAACTCTTGTTCGCCCCGGTAGATGGCCATAGAGCAATAGGAGTGGTAGAAAGGATGATTCAAACATTGAAACGTAGACTAGGAGTAATGAAATTTGACCGATCAAATACATCATACAAACTTGCGTCAGACGTAGCCGAAATTATCAAAACGTTAAGAATAACACCACACAGCGTAACAAAAATTTCACTGTTTGAGGCCCACATGGGACGTAAACCAAACACGCCCACATCAAATATAGCAACTAGTAGTTCACCTAACAATCTGACCTGGGAAAGCGCAAAACAAGCATGATAAGATCGGAAAAATTTGACAAAGCCGCCACTACCCGCAGAAGTAATGCACGACCTACAACGGTGGTTGAAGGATGATGTAAGCATCAAGAAGAAAAACGTCAGACCAAATATGCCGAAGAACCTTGAGAACACAAACTCCCGGACACAACTAACCTCAGGTGCAAAATCAAAAGTCATAGATATAGCCAAGGATAAACTAAACTTAAGATACGAGAGTGTACAAACAACACTAGACAAAAACACGGGAAAACGCATAGAACAGGTAGCACGAAAAACCATTAGAATAGCAACGAAGGTTAAGGACCCGAAAACATTCGAACAAAAATACAAAACCATAGATAGAAAAATTCTAACTTATACTCCACACACCGCATGGGTTCAAACATTCGGAAAACAACAAAGACTTTTCAGAAATAGCGGCGCTGCATTTTCCCAAACCCTATAATATACGGACCATGCAGACCGTCACGACTCAGTGATTATGTTGCTTATAAATCCGCACGGAGATCAGGTCCATGCCTACAGTTTTAAGACATTGAAAACCCTACGGCGCCCCAGCTCCCACTGTTCAGCGAAGATGAAAAAACGGGCCTACCCAAGAAACTGACTCAAAAGGAAAAGGCAACAAGGCAGGCGACTCAAAATAGTCCCACGAAAAGAAAGCAAGCGGACAAGCGAACCAACGGGCGCCCAACACATAAGCTACCAACCAGCGTAATGAGACTACAAACCAATCTCCCCACCGAAACAACGAAAGTGGACACAAACACTCAACGGAAATCATCATCAAGCAACTCGGACACTGACGAACAGTCATCCACCTCCTCAGAGGACATTGCACCCTCGCCTAAAAGGCAGAATAAAAAGCGAACACCTCCAACAAATCAACAGTACCACAACGTAAATCCACAAGGCACCGCCAATCGGCGCTGTCCACAGCACTTGGGAATCCCGTACCGATCAACAACATCACTAGCAAGGATAACGAAGAAAAGAAAACAATACAATTTGAGATCGATTCACCACCAGAAAAGCAAAACACAAACGAGTACCCGACCTTAAAATCACTTATAGAAGAAATGGGTTTCACCGAGAAAACCCCACAGTACAAAGCATGCGTGAAATTTATTGAAGCAATCAGCCCGAAAAACAAAATAAGCAGCACAGATGTGGTAGACTTAACGTCGCCGACCGAGGACTATGAAAAGAATGAAAACAACAACGACATTCTATTTGTGAAAGAGAAAGAGATCGAACAAGAAGTCTAGATGGCAAAGACAACCAGAATTCTACAAGAAAATGAGGAACACGAGAGCAGCGGGGAAGAAGTCAACAAAAAGACAAAACAAACCGAAGAACCAACAATGTAGAAAAGTCAGTGCTAAAGGGACTATAAAACTCAAGAGGCAAGTCCCACAGGGACTCAAAAACTCAATTTATAAAACAATTGTTTATAAATTTGTCCCCAAGGGGGAATGTCATCCGGTCTGGATTGACAAACTCATTACATATATATATGATATTTATACTATGTATATTTTTTGTTAAACGTCTAGAAGACTGGTCACTTGACCTTGCTAGACACAGAAGACAAAACCAAGTTTGAACTATCGTTCAGAGCAAATTTTACTTTGTCTATCGGTCAGTTGTTTTATTTCTGAAGAAATTTTTGCTAAAAAGTAAATTTCAAACGTTTTCGCAACTATGTGCATCGTCAGGATTTTTACAATAAACTACTCTAAATGACGATAAAACATCAATTTACAAATGTTATTTACAATAAATCACATACAATTTGGTTCTAAACCATCATGATAAAAAATTAGCCAATCACAGTTGACCTCTAAATTACTATTAAGATTAAAATGCTTTCAACCTCTAAAATTAATTAAACATTTTAAAATTAATTTGTCTGGAAGTTTCTGAGTCATAATTTCGATTTAGACATGTACGTTTTGAATAAAAAACCAAAAATATTTTGGGACTAAATTTTCAGTGTTAACTCCCTGCTCCTAAACTCATCTCGCGTGTTCAAGCCCGGTTTCTCTTTCCTGATATGTATTGCCTCTAGTGTTAGCAATTTTGTTTGGTTGTTTGACCTATCTATAATTTCCCAACTAAGATCTGCGCTATTTCCCTCAAGTTGGCATTGCTGAAGGTGGAGGCCTACCGGTGAGTCTGCTTTCTTATGTTCCTCAATTCTAGTGGTCAAATGTCGAACAGTTTGTCCGACATAGGTGGAAGTGCATCCACTACATGACAGTTTATAAACCACTCTTGACTTGAGGTCATTAGAAAATGCTGACTTCAGTGATGGTAAACATGATTGTAGTTTTCTTGTGGTGAAAACCACTTGAACGTTCGTTAATTTTCGTAACCTGTTAGCAAAATATTGGCTCTGGTTACCTCTATATTGCACCATCAGCATTGGGGGCTTCTCATCCTTTGGTGATTGAATTGACAAACCCCTGTCACTATCCAGGGGCTTGCCTTTACCCTCGATGATCTTGCACAAGGCGTCTGAAGCCACCTTTGCGGACCAATTTTCAGGGTACTGATTTGTCAGCCATTGCGCCCTATTAGTTTCCATAGCCTTATCAAATTGCTCCCAGCTAGATGTACTCCTAAAAACCCTGTGTACAGTGCCTTGGATAACACTACGCTTATACTGAGTTGGGGCGCAGCTTCTATAGTTCAGTATAGTCCCTGTATCTGTTGGTTTTTGATACCAACTGCAAGTTACACGCCTATCCTGCGATACATTTATGTTTTATGTTTTATTTCTCTTCAGCCAATCTTTTTTGTTTATCGATCCAATCGGATTCAATAATTAGAAGTACGTAGCTCTCGGTATGACACTCAGTTTGCATTTTAGAATTCCTTCGTGAATGATTTAATCTGAGTTACGCCGTTCAGTCTAACTTTGCTAGTCGTAGAACAGCTTGAGTAACTGATGGTTTTGCTCCTTTGAAAATACATCCATAGTAAAATGTAGTCGATATTGTAATGATTTGCCAGTTAGACTGATACGCACTTTTCATATTTAGCTCTTTCTATATATAATCATGCATTCAATTCTGCTTCAGCACTCCTCAATGTCTGGGGAAGCTGAGTCGAGTCACCATCTGGCACGACTTAGCTCCCCCCTCACTGTCGTCGAGTAGCAGCAGCAGTGTCACTAAGTGTGGAGGCGGTTTGAGGGGTGAGGAGGACGAGGAGGTGAAGTGCTTCTACGTGAACAGGGTCACTGTCGTCGACATTCACACTCTGGACTTGTATGATTTCCCGGTCTTTGAGTGGATCGGACCTGGGTTCCGAGATGGACGCACAGACAGAATCATATTCCGACGCAAGGCAAAATCCCTCGAAAAGGTCAACAAATAGTTACTATTAGGAAACGTAGTGTAAAGAGATAATAAATTAGCAAAAACCTCGATTTAGCCTATGAAAATTCCATGAGTTAGAGTAGAATAAACCATATGATGTCTGTGAGCCGAAATTATGTTGAGCTGTATCTCTTTTTGGACGTCTGAAAAAATGCTACCCCTACAAAAATGATACAGCTCAAAAAGTTTTTGAATCACAGACATCTCATAGCAAACTTGAACCCATGGAAGTTTCATATGCTAAATGAGACTTATGCCAACACCTTTTCTCTTTATATAAGGCGTTTGACTCAAACACTTTAGATGTTATAATTTGTTATGCCATTCTGTTGTATTTGACAGTGCATAAAGAAGGAGTTGTTGTCTGTGACCCTGAACTCATTGGAGTCATTCTGTTCACTGGTTCTGCCCAGATTCAGGACTCGCTCCGCCTGCTGTCTCTTCCTCCTGCTCGCCCTGAGTCTCACTTCTTGTGGAGCAACTCTCTCGCCATTTCTACCGCTGCACGACTGGCAAAAATCTAAGGTAGTTCACTTGGTTTGAATCGTAGAGGAGCTACGAGTAGTCTATATAAGACCTGTCGAAAGATAGTCCACTTGTTTTTCCCCACACTTCAGGCTGACTTATTGCGCGACTCAACGACTAGAGTTTCACGTCTAGAGTTTTTATCTGGTACCACTATTGCAGCCGAAATTAGTCACGCTGTGGTATTTTTGAAGCCAGGGTTAAGTGAGAGCTCGCTCCCACAAATTATCATTGCCACGGTAGGAAATCGAACACTCGATCCTACGTTATCCTTTCTGACAATACCACTATGCTAAAAGCCTTTCTATACGAATAAACATATTTTTTCAGCCTGTTTCTCTGAAAATAGTCTAAAACACATTTTCGCCAATTTTTCGCCTAAAGCGAGTTTTTCAACAGTGGCGGTGAAGAAGCCGGAAAGGCTACCCTTGAGAAGGTGGCTAGAAGAGTAACTATTTGATTCAGATGCTGATGCTGAATCCTGGAGGGTGTTTTATGCTGACGGCACCGGTGCTTTGCAGTTCTGTGTTGCTCTCTTGTGGGGTGAGTTGTGCTTGCTTTGTGTTGTACTGGGTGCTGACTCACATCCCCTATGGCTACTCCTCCACTTCCTCCTCCTCTGTGGATTACCACCAGGTGCAGCAGGTGCAGCCACCCTCGCAGCAGAACTCGCTGACCAAACACAAGTGGTGGAACGACATTGAGACATGGGCCGAGAGGGCAGCCGAAACCAGAGCTCCAGTTAGTACGAACAAACAGCAAAGCATCCTTGTTTTCTTTTGCTCTAAACCAAATAACATGGAACGATAACTTTTGCAGGACCAGCTCAGTTGTGGTGAGGTGCCAATATCTGCAGCTGGTACTCTGACCCCTGGAGGGGGAGCCAGCAGTAGACGCAACAGCTACAGGTTCCTTTCTACCTCGAGGGAGACGCTCGCCAGCCAGATGAACAACTCCAACACTGCACACAGTTAGAACTATTCTAGAACTAAATTAATACCTCAAAAACCATATTCCTGACGGAAAATTACATGAACTTTCTCTGCATGCGGACAAAATTTCTTAGCTGGATTTCTCTTTTATTGGCTCTTTCAAATAAATGGCTAATTTGTCTTACTCAAACAAGATAGCTCATTTGACTTATTTCAGCTTAATGGCTAGTTAAAAAAATATTGATGATTACAATCTGAATGTTTGAATTTCAAGCATTGTTTAAGGCGACTGGAATTAGAGTTACGCCTTTAAATTACCGAAAGCCCTCTCGTGGCACTCTTTCTCCTTTTCTATTTTTTGTTCTCCTCGACACGAGACCGATGTACGGTGAATGGAATTTGTGCGCCTCCTTAATGAGGGGGGGGGGGGAGGGGGGGAGGGAAGCAATTTTTTTTAAGCAAATAAAAATGATTTCATTCAAAAATTAGGTACTACTATGATTTAAAAAAAACTAAATTACAAAAGGGGCCCTTCCGTTTAGTTACGGTAAGTGCACAAGCTGGATAGGGCCATACCAGCGATATGAAAATGCATATATATCAGCAATGAAGTCATAAATCAGCATTAAATGCATCGTCATAATGTTAATTTATCTTAGCCGTCCTTCCTCTACAATAGCGCTTATGGAGTTGTCGATAAATTGAACCTTGCGTAGCGATCTGCACCCCCTTATACAAAGTATAGAGCTCCTCAGGAGCGCGAAGCTTATTTTAGTTCTTATGTAGTTTATAGATTCTGGATAGCTTTCTTGTCTTTTTTCACTTAGTTTTTCGGCCAATCGCTGCATCGTCCGCGTGGCTGTTGGAGCAGCGCCACCGGTGCATCCAAAAATTAGCGGGCAGAAGCTACTCTGCTCTACGTTTAAAATTCTTTGCTGATATTTGGAGTTCTTCAGCGTTTCGTGGTATTTGTATGCATCCTTATGCAGTTTTCGCGATGTTTTGGCATGGGGGTTGAAAATTTTCACATCAAAGAAAGCGCGGCTGAATCGTGAACCCCAGAGTCCGTTTGCCTTAATGTCAAGTCGTGCCTCATCTTCAGTTGTAGTTGAATTGTTGACAAAGCTTTCGCCTTGCAACGGCTGAAGTTTCGGCTCAATCTCGACGTCATGGCAAACCTCGTTCATGAGGTTGGCGAATGTGTCTCTGATTTCATTGTGTCTTATGTGTGTGTAACCACCCTTTGCACAGTGAAGCGCATGTGTCAAGTTAAAATCAGCACCACATGCACATGTGAGTGGGGTTTTGGTTGGTTCCCATCCGTATCTTAAGTAAATACCATCTCTGAACTCTGATTTATTCAGGTTGAAGTTGTATCTGCTCAGTGGTAGAGCATTGAGCCAGTTAGAGGCTCCCTTTTCAGAGGCCATGTCGATTGTGTATTTATCTGTTTCATTTGAGGAGTTAATGAGGTTTGTTTTTTTTTCGATTTGTTCTATCAGTTTTCAATTTTTTGATTTTCGTACATATTTTTTCTTGCTGTGTTACTGCTGTAATAGGATCTTGAGATTCCAGTACCAGTGATGTTTCCTTAGACCATTCTAGGTAGCTTTCATGATCGGATGGCAGCTTGATGTTAAATCCGCCCATTTTAAGGGGTAAGGAAGATATCTCACGGAACTGGGGGTTTAAACTGTCTTTACCGACTAGGTTAGGTAATAATTGTTCTTTGATAATATTTTCACATATTTCTAAGTTTTCCATAGTGTTAGGCGTTGTCCTGGCAAGAAATGAAAGCTTTTCTTGAACTCTTTTAGTATAGCAGGCATAAACGTTTTGAGGGGAGGTTTTCGCAATTTTCGTTAGTTTTTTCAAAATTTTGATTTGCTCATTCTGTTGAAATTCGAGGAACTTTTCTATCAGGAAAGCAATCAGAAAAAAGATAGGTTTTTCTTTTTGTGTCCATACAAGTACAATGTGATTTAGTTTTAGTTAACTAAACAAAGTAACTGGATCAATTAGATAGCATCGATTCAAAATAAAAATCGTTTGTGTTTGACATGAAAAAGTTGGAAAAAGTGATAAGCGCCATTTTTACAGGAATTTTTTCTATCATCTGAAAGGTACTGATATCATGAGATATTTAAAAAGATTTTTAAATTGTGATCATTTTTTGAGAAATGGGCGTTGCTTTAGATATTGTGAATATTGTGCATGTTTTTGTTCCGACCATTGAAAATGGAGAGGAACTTTGTATTCGTGTTTTTTTTAAGATTTTTTTTCTTTTTGTTTTCCATGCGAAATCATGTACCACAAGCAATCATTGGACTAGGTTGAGTGATATGTCATATTGAAGCCCATTCAATCGTGATTTGAACCATTTTAAAAATTCCCAAAATTTTTTGTCATTGTTGAGAAAAACCGGTTAGAAATTTTTGATTTTTCGTCTTAATTCAAGCGAATGAAGCAAGCGAGCAGGCTTACATCAAGAGCAGGATTAAATTATGCGTAATTTAAGACCTTAAAATTTAATTTTATGCAAGTAAAAATTAGTTTTTATAGCTTCATTTTGGAAACCAAAAACTTTAAAAGTTTTCTGCAACAAATTTTGAAAAAAACTTTTTCTATATTTTTTCTAGTTTTCTTGTCAATCTTGTACAAAGTTTTTGTCCAATTTGCTTCTATTACTATGACTGTCTAATATGCTTAAATTATGTTATTACGTCAGATCTTTCTATCACACCTAGCAGAATAAAACTACCTTAATTTGGAAAAAAGGTTCTAAACCGTAGTTTTCTAAAGACTATGTTCGGAACATTATGTGCTACTTGCACAGTATCCGGCTATCCTTGATGTATTATTTTATCAATATTTAGAAACAAAAGGTTTTAACTGGCTGTCGAAACATTTAGAGCTTCGACCTGACACGAGCTGTCTCGTTGTCCTTTTAGCATTTAAGGAGAGCTCGGAAAGTCTTTTTGATCGACCTTAAACCAGGCCTACAAAATTTTGTACAATGTTGCGAAAATCTTTTGCAAAAAATTTTAAATCGTCCATACGTTACCGCAAAAAAAAGGCTGTGTCACTTAGTGTTTCAGTTTAGTATATTTTTACGAACGATAACTTACGAGAGCTCCCTGATTCAAACGTTTCCAAAGTTCTTGAAAATTTTGCTATTCCAACTTTGGAAATATTTATACTTTTTTTCACTAGCGGTCAGCTTAGTTTAATATTACAAACCTTCTTTTTTTTCTAATCTTACTCGCAAATAAAGTGTTCATTGAAAGTGTCCTTTTGTTTGGAAATTTCACTGTAGCATTGGCAATTGCATAGCATCTGTTCTCTTCTTTTTTGGTGGCTAGTGTCTGATGCCTACTACGCGTCCGTGGGTAGTGTATGAGACTCTTAGTTTCTAGGTTGAAGGTTTGAATCTCAGGCATTGCCAATTTTTTTCTAATCGATGCTTATTTCTGATTTTTTTTCTTATTACTCTTTATAGACCTGCTTTTTGCCGTGTCCTGGCTAGTGTTTGTGATGCGAAGCTTCGCCTCTGTGTGTATATTTAAAATTAGATAGAATGTAATCAGAATTAGCAGTATGGTTGGATCAGTGTAATTTGCAGGTGGGTTGCGAGACCAGTGCGCTGGACCGGCCAGTTTCCACACCCTACCAAAGTCCAGACTGTACTTGATGGGATTCTACTCTGGCTTAGCCCTCTCTCTATCCCTCTCTTTCGCCACCGCATTCTTCCTATCCAGGTTCGTAGTTTACTGCTGCTTCTGTGTCACTCTTTTGTGGCTCATTTAGACCACCAATTAAAGTTTAAACAACACATTCGATAATCCCGTCCAGATTGATACAGATTTTCGTCGCAATTGGTTCGCTCAACTTTTTGGAAAGGAGGTGCTAAGCTTTAGTTTGATTCCCTATAAACTCACTAATCCAAAAGCATCATCGGCTGGCTCAGAGCTAATTAAAATCAAAATGTTTTGCGTTCAGTGATTTTTGGAGTTCCGCCCTATATGGTCTCGATACATTCCAGCTACTCAATACACTTGCTACTTCTTGGTCTCTGCTGCTATAAGTTAATCTTTGTTGTTTCAGAAGTGACAAGTTGGCCCTGGTTTACAGTGGTAAAGTGGCCTTCTGCTCACTCATATGCTCCCTTTGTCTACTTTTCCCTCTCTTCGTTAGTAAAATCAGTCTCAGTATTTGCACTCCTAGTGTTTTGTGTTCTCGTTCCTTTTCGAAACTTCACTTTTTCAATTGATGCCAATCATTCCCGCCATTTTTGAGGTCTTCTCTTTAATACCTCCCCGCAACCCCCTCTCCCCCCTCCCCCAAAAAACGAGGAAAAACGAAAAAAAAATCGTTTTTCAATTTTTTTACCTAATGTGACCGTGGCCGGAACTTTCTGTGGCGCAGCAACCGTCTATTCTTGCTCTTCTTTGCGTGCAGACTTTGCTGTGTTCTTTGATCTCGGCTGTGGTGAGTTGGTCCTTCAAGTTCCCCCTGCAGCTACGCTTTGTGCTCCACTTGCCCCATGCTTGCAGTCCCCTCGTCAGACCGCACAGCAGGAAGAGCTCATACAACGATCCCCTAGACTTCTCAGAGTCAATCGCCAGCTCTTGCTTTGTTAGTATGTTTGCCTCAGTTTCGTGCCCCAAACACTCTGGGAAAAACGTTTTGAAATGGTTGAAAATCATTAGCAATGTATTCTACGTAGGAAATGTAATTGCTATATCTGTAGTGATTCCTTTATCCGTTGACCCAGTATTGTGCTCTTAATTATTTTGATGAACGGAGAATACTTATTGCATGTGACTCCTATTACCGGTTTTGGTTTAAGGCTCTTGCGATGAGGCAACGTGCTCGGTATCTCAAGTACGTGCGGCCTCCTTCGGTGCAGAGCCTCAGAAAATGGCACATCTGGACTCTTCAGAAACTTAAGTTATTTGAACTCTTCAGGTACGCGATCTCAAAAGTTAGTGTTAACAAGATCAAGTGTAGTTATTGATAATTTTTCTGTGAATGCCAGGCATACCTTCAAAATATGTTTCTATAAAAACGTTCGAATGTCTCAATTATGGTGTAGTAGATGCTAGCTATCTCTTTTCAGATTTGTTTACTGTTCACAGGTTCCTGGTTGTGTTTTGTGTGAAGTTTTTCTGTGTCGCTTTTGTGTTCTACATAGTATCGCCCTCCCAGACTGAGTTTGAACTGAGGAGCAGAATTGCAGACTTGATTCAGACGTAAGTATTTTCAATAGAATTTTCCGTGTTTGATGAAATTTTTTTTGAAAAATTATCAGAAAATGCAATCAGCTTAATTTCAGTGGAAACCGCGCAGAGCTCAAAATAATATCACGGAAATTTCCTCAGGTGCAGTTTTAATAGGAAGCTAACGAGTTTGGATTGTGATTTATAAAAACTAAAAACCTGATTTTGCGGAACCATCGCACGATTAAAGCAGCAGTTTTGTTCACCATTCAAAAGCTTCCAACTAACTGGCTCTCGACTAGTTTGGCTTGTAAAGTAACCCATTTCTGTTCATTAAATAATTGAAATTTACCATGAATTTGCTTTTCAGAATCTCCAGCTGCTCCCTCTTGCGGTCTGGTCCGACGAGCAAGATTTCTTCGATGCAGTCAACCTCTCTCAGTATAGAACAAAGTCTTCTTGAAAAATTTGTTTTAAATTATGAATAATGCTGTTACAAAATAATTGCAGGTTTTCAGCAGATCCCGAATTTTATGATGCTCGAGTGGCGACAGTCATGTTCTTCTACCCTGTGGAAAGCCTTATAGGGTAATTTTTGTTACATTTGAATTCTTCAAACCCATCCCATTTTTAGACCCAGCTCCTTCTAAACAGGCGTATTTGTTGTAGTTTGTGTTTGACATTTGATTGGTATACTTGGTGAGAATTTGATCCAAGGGTCTTTCTATTGCTCAATTGAATTGTTTTCTATTGCGTGCACTTGTTATGAAGGCTGACAAACGTGAAGGAAAACAACAGTAGCCATCTCTCAGTCCATACTCTGATCCTCCCCTTTGGCCCTCTGGTGACGTCATCACAGTGTAGTTATTGTGCAGTGCTGGTAATGTGTGTGCAGATGATGAGTGTGATGTGGTTCTGCTGTCACCTCAAGACACTCTTCTTCTCCGCCTCGCGCAACTTCTCCTTCATCGACCTTAAACTCATTCTTCAAGTAATTATAAGTACATTTTGAGGCACTGCTTTTTGAAAGTCATTTCTTAATTAATCGTTTCCGAAGCCTGCTGGCAAAATCTCAAATTCCCAAAGATCCGATCCATTCTGTATACAGTCTCATGCCTCCTTGCATCAGATTTTGTTCCAGATGTTCTTTCCCTCTGCTTGTCTGGCTTTCTCTATCTACTTGACCTGTTTATGGGAGACTTCTTTGCAACTGCAGAAGTCACTGAAGCTTAGACCGAACGAGGCCGCCCAAATGTTCAAAGCACTGCACGAGAATCTCGAGGTAAAATGCATTTAAACTCTAACGTCAAAGACGTGTCAGCTGGTTTCAAGCTTCCAAAAGGCAGATTGCAATGAGTTGCTGAGAATCCCTACAATGATGTATCAATATAGGTTTTGGAACATATACTATTTAACCTCTGATTTATTTTAAACCAAAACGCATTGTACTAAGATAAAGTTTAAACCTGATTTATGTGCATCAGAATATACGACTGCTTCTGGGGATGGTTGTGCTGTTGTATCTGGTGAGTGTGACTCGCCTATTCAAGAGCAAGCAGAGTGGTCTGAAACTGTATGAGCAGTGGTTCTTCGATAGACTAGTCACCATACCTCACAAGAGAACCCTCGTCGTGAGTTTCTTCACAATGCAGCATTTCTCTATCGTTTATTCTTTTGAATCTCGAGTTGTACGGTAAATAGATTTTCATTGATTGTCTTTATCCAATTTTTTTTCTTTTAATTATTGGTGTGTTAGCAAAGGCGAAGGATACAGGACACGCGAACTTTTTTTCAAGCTGAAGGAAAGTGTACCAATTTGCCAAAAAAATCTCTTCTAAGCAAATTTTTTGTGCGATCTGGTCTGAACAACTAAACAAAATAACAACTATACTGGAACCAGATCTAAACTAGATTTTATTATTGGATATTACTCTGATATTTTATCCCTATAAAATATTGAATATTAACCAATCATGCTCCATCAAACTAACAACCCACTCATTTGTAAGTGCTGAAATTACTAGTAATTTCAGCACCAATGAGATTTGAATTTAACTTAGAATATAGTTGCCTTCACCAAAGAGACCGACTCGTATAAACCAGTATACACTAGATCTAATGCGACTAGAAGATACAAGAGGAATTTTAAGACCGGTATTAGACTAAGCAGTTGCACGAATCTATCCGGCCGAAAATAAGATAGCGTGACGAGCAGACGGTGTACCTTATATGGAATTATTCTATGAGTTAACCAATAAGACCTAACTCACCTGGTGCGACCAAAGGTCTCGAACAAGACCTTAGCAAGCATAGATTAGAAACATTAATCAAAACATTAGATTAGAATTAGACAAATATAACACTTAAAAAATGTTATATCACAAAAATTTAGTAGAAATGTCTCTACGACTCAATAGATCAGAGCCAATTTTCCGGTATTGGAAGAATACCTCTGACAAGAGACGACATACGATTAGGAAGAAATCTACCAATAGATTTCATGCTCGTACGGCAAAAGCCAACTCAAACTTTTATATTTAGAATATTACTAGCAGTAAATTTAAATTTTGATTTACTGACATAAAATTTTTGAAGAGAAGTATTCAACAATCTTGAAAGGCGCTAAACCTAATAATTCTACAATAACGACTGATAATAACAGCCCTAGTCGTTCTCCCCAAAAATTTGCAGTAAATTCAAAACATCTTGGAAAAATATTTATAAAAAATAAAATTACAAAAATTAGTTAGTATAAAACAAATTGTTAGTATATATAAATCATCTCTTCATCCCAGCTTCATCACCTAAAACATAACAGCAAATCTCAAAAACAATAACATCATCAAAACTAAACCTTAATCTTTTTCTTTCACTTAAAACTTTTACCTAAAAGTTATCAAGGCTTATCCATGTTTTCCTTTAAATTAATCTCATTTAGAGTAACAGATCATCAAGGCTTCCCTTAGATCTTTAAATCAATTTCACTTAACTTAAATTAGTTTAATTTCATCTAAATTTTCTGATCATCAAGGCTTATCCTTGGATCAAATAGAACCATTTTGTTCTCCCCCTTCAAAATTAGTCAGTATCTAACGACCTCAATTGTCGATTCGCTATCCAAATCTCACTCAAGACCCAGGATTAACAGAAGTTTTTCAAAAGACTGACCATTCGAATTAAGATAAACAGTGAAGAACTTCGGTTACTCATCGTTCACTTGATTCCCCCCTTTTAGCTGACCCAGGATAGTACTTAAACTTAGTAAGTAATAAAATAGTATCTAACGAACTACTTGCGTTCTAATTAAACCTGAACCTTGTGGATCGATTTACTACTCCCCAACCCTTGATCACAAATCACTACCCCTAAGTAAGATTAGGTAAGTTTATCTTAGCTTAGAATTAGTCACGAGAAAGTAAAAATCATTCTCACGACTCGATATCTGCTTTTCTCTCCAACCCTACAAAACACGACGCAAGTTAAGCTAACCACAAAAAATTTTAAGAACTAATAGTTTAAGACACTAGAAATCACTAATCCCAATCTCGCATCCATCATCCTAAACCTTATGTCAAGAGACAGTTTAGGAAATAAACAAACAATTATATTACACAACTGTGTAGTTAAAGACGAAAGATATGACCTCGTAATCACACCACACAGACGAACAATAGGATACATAAGAACAAATCGACAATCGCATAGGAAGAAAATTATAAGCAAACAAAAACAAATTGTTCGAAAACGATTTTCAAAGCGAAGAAGCGCAGTCTCAGAATCAGAAACCAGTGAAATACAGGAACTCCACAATTTAAAAGACTCAATAAACAAAAACCATCAAATTGACGATCAACTATTTTCTTCTGATTCAGAAACCTCTGATTCATCACCATCATCAATAAAAGGAAAAAGAAGATAAAAAAGTCATACACAAACAAACCAGTACGTCTATATAATTGTAATCAACCCATGAAACACATTGAAAGTTACACGCTAACAGTAATAAAACACAAAAATGACTCGAATTGAAGAAAACTCAGAAGAAATTTCCATTCTCCTATTTTTATTAAACCCACTAGATGAAAATAGAGGACAAGTACAATTTTGTCAGAATTTAATCGCAAATTTATTTGAAAAGGAGATAGTCCATGTACCAAGGAATTTCCGGAAGTAAAAATCAAAAGACAACTCCTTGACCACTATCGAAAAGGAATTTGCAACCTTACACAACAATATGGAATCCATACAAAAGAAATCAGTTCACCAAATGCATTTCATGGCAGATATCTAATTCAAACAGATGACGTAGATATTGAATTTTCCAAAGTTTTCACAGAATACATAAGAATTATACAACATCAAAACTCACAAAAAGCGAATTCAGTATTCACTAACGACGTATTTTCACTTATTTATAGCTATTTATCTATATTAGACACATCAGAACCTCAAGGAGATTCACCAATTCAAACATCTCGACATACAACCGTAAGACCGCAATCCGTGAAAATCCAACAAGTAATGAACTCACGCAACATGTTAAACACGATTCAAAAAATCTTAGCATGGTTCATAATTGATCATTTGCTCATAATTTTGACCTCATTTCACAAGCAAGAAAAAATTTTAGACCACAAGATACAGATGACGAAACTGTTTTAGCAGAACAAACAGATTATGTTTGGAACCCTGAATGGTCTCATAATTTTTTTAATATACCTACAGATATATCAAGACAAGCAATTAGCACATATTTTATTGACAAAGACTATATTGAAGTATACCCACTCACAGTTGACTCAACACCTTTAAACTACAATTAATTCTTTCCCGATAGAGCAGGAAACAATAGTTTAAATTCAACTTTTATACAAAAAAAAACCTAAACGGAGCAAGAAATCTTACACAACAAGTTATCCAAATCCCCATCACATTTCGTAACTGAAGAAATAGTTGAAACAATAACAACTACAGCACAACAAAGTATCTCACCTATTCATTCAAATCTTACAACTCCAAGACCAAAAAACCCAATTTTACCACAGGTGACACTACAATCTACAGTAAAACCCTCCGTTGCTCTAAAATACTCACATATGGATTACCGAACATTTAGACCAATGACAAAACCATCGCAAAAACAAGAAATTCATATAGAAATAATTTTGCAGAACATAACTATAACTATGTAAATAAACCAAAAACAACTAAACCTTCTAGTATGAATACCCAAAACTAACTATACTCATAAAGTCAAAATATACAACAACCACCATCAAACTCAGTAAATTTAATGATAATCCACAAACTTCACAAGATCGAATTGAAAATTAGCCTTTTTTCCAACAAAACAAAAATCATACACATTGATATCAATCCTGAAATCAACCTCCTTACCATACAGCTAATTATATTCCATCAGATGACGAAAAATACTATAATCAAAATTTTCAACGATTTTATCCAAGCCAAAGATCTCGTTCTTATAGCATAGATCAACCAGATATTTTTGACCTCATACACGAGAAGAACAAGTACGACAACCTAAAACAAATCCAACATCCCAAAATAAAATTTTTAAAACACAAAACCCAATCAATACACAATCTTATCAAACAATCCAAATGCATAACGAAATTCCATTACCATAATATTTACAACAACATGAAATAACAAAAAATCAACTTACGAATTTTCTCAAATCCCAAATGCCGCAGAATCACTACAAATGACTATGAAACCATACCTCATAGGTGGATCATGGATATCATCAAATAAGCCACTAATGGTTTTTACAGGCACAGATCCTGAATATTCTGTAGAGGATTATCTGAACGCAGTCACAGCAAATCTATTTTTAAATGTAGGACCTAAGCCAGTAAATACGCCACTTCATCAAAATTGGATACATAGATGCACAGCATCAATCCAAACCACACTTGATGGCGCAGCCCAAAAATGGTTCTCAGTTTTACTTATAGATATAAAATCAGATTGGAAAAGATTCACACAAGAATTTTCAAAAATATTTGACTCTGAAGGAAACAAACAACATCAAAGAGTTTTATGCAAGGAAATTCGTAGACTACCAAACGAAACAATTAAACAACTCGCAGTAAAAATTGAAACACTAGTCCGAAAAGCATATTCACTCAACACTCATGATTATAAAAAGTCAAAGATGACAGAAATCTAATTAATGACTCTAACACATCAATTACGAAAAATAGCAATAAAAAAAGAGCTTCACAATCTTCCTCCATTCGAGAACCAGACTTAAGAAAACTAGTTGATAAGTTAGAACAAGCAGAAATCACTATGATACTAGAAGAAACAGAAAATCTAAAGCTACAATATGTCAATAACATCCAGACCACCACTGCACAAATAATTAGTATACACGACTCAGATACAGATTTATCCGAAAAAACCTCTGAAATTTTAATTATAAATGAGAAAAAAACCCAAATTTTAAAGGAAAACCATCTGTCAAAAATGGTGCAACTATTGCCGAAGATACGGACACAACATTGCTGAATGCAGACAAAAACAGCAAGACAAGCAAAATAAACCGCAAAAGTACAGAGAACCAAATAACACATTTTTTCAGTAAATAAAAAAAGATCAAAAG